CGGCACCGCCGCTTCCTGCCAGGTGTGCTCAGCCTGGCTGCCTGCCTGTGAAGTCCTGGCCATCCTGCCCGTGCCTGCTCCAAGGGCGGGTTGGCAGCACTGCCAGCTCTCTTAGCTGCTGCTGCTGCTGCTTGTCCCCTGGGGCTGCGTGGAAGGGGACAGTGATAGTGCAAGGTCAGAGCTGGTCCTTTAGCCACCTGCTGCTGGGTATGCAGTGCCCCAAGGACTGCTGAAGGCTGGGATGAGTGTGTGCAAGCACATCTAAGAGCTGGAGGAGCTGGGAGAGGGCATCAGTGGTCAATATAGGGCATCTTGGGGTGCCTGGAGCGAGCTTGGCCCCAGGAAGAGGGATCATTGCCCCAACAGGGAGCTGGGGCAAGAAACCGGACTTATGTGGCCTGCTCCATCCCAGGGGGTTAAGCCCTGCCTTTCTCTGCCCTTGATCCCAGCTGGAAGGGAACAGTTCAACCCTCTCCATCTATTTTCCTGCAGATAGATTCTACTGGGTTCCCTTGGTCCAGTGCTACTGGCAGAGGCTGGTTGAGCATCTCTCTGGATCCCATAGTGGATGCCTCGCCAGCCTGACTGACACTGGCACAACCATGGGCAGAGATGCCCAGCACAGATCCAGCAAGCCATGCCAGCCCCATTCCCAGGAGCATGCACAAAGCTCATGGCTGAAGAGAGCGCCAAGGGCGGCCTGGCCACAAGGCACAGGAATGCTCCAGTCATGGAGCTCTTCCCCTGTCCTCCATGGATTGATGCAGCATCCCAGACTTTGGCCATGCCAGTGTGGTGGCAGCCATTCCCATTGCTGGAGAGCCAGTCTGCCATTCCTGGACTGCCACTCCACCACGCCGCTTCCATGGAGCCCTCTGGCAGGGGCAGCCTGGGGAAGCCATGCCCCCCCTTGGCCCACACCCCTTGGCTCCTGGCCCCGGTAGGAATTATTAAGTGTGCCCCTGTGGAGCATGTGCTGAGGCTGGCCACGGGAATGTGGGCAGATCTGACATACAAGCCACAGCAGCCAGGCTGTAATTTCCAAACAGGCCCCATTTGCTCTGTTTTCCAGTTAAAAATATATTAAAAAATAGGAATGTGGGATTCGTCGTGAAGAATGTTGGTAACCGCTTCGAATGTCTGGTGTGATAATGAAAGGGTCAGTCCCCAGCTTTGAGCATGACCGATTTAGACTCTGGTGCTTGGCACTAGTTTGGGGGCCCAGCACAGTCCAGTCTGCCTGCAAATCCATCCTGGGCTAGGGAAAAGTGATGCATCTGTGTTGGTGGTGTGGTGCTGTTCTGGGTAACGTGTCCCTCCTGCTCATGCTGTCAAGAGGACATCCAAAATGCCATCTCTTATGGCCTCTTGAGAAGGAAATCTGCGCAGGGGTGGGTGAAGGCAGCATGCCATAGAGATAGATGCCATGCCCTGCCCACCACTGCCTTTTCACAGTGGGGTTTAGCCTCATGGCAGAGCCCTCTTGGGATGGGGTTCATTGAGTGAGGCTGCAGCCAAGCTGCCCCTGAGCTGCCCCTCCACACTGTGGGGCTCTCAGTGAGCACAGCTTGCTCCTGGCACAAGGTCAGGCACCTGCCCCCCCTTCGCCAGGCACTCCTCCTGGCTGGGCTAATCACAGTTCAGGGTGTCCTGCAGAGCCTCCCATGCCACTACCACAGCCTTGAGTCCCTCCTGATACTGGGGCATCCCACTCGGCCTTGTGGCCAGGTAGTCATAACAGGCAGCACAAGCCATGCCAGCTCCCCAGGCAACGCTCCCCAGTGCCTGGCAAACCCCAGGAGCAACCCGGACAGCACTCCCCCAGCTGCCAGCTCTCTGCCTGTGCCGCTCCCCAGACCTCAGGCGTCATGTTTATCCTGGAGATGGGTAATCAGGGAAAAACAATTCACCAGAGGCCAAGCCTGATGTTGCAGCGAGGACAAGTTTGTCTGCAGCGGGGTTCAGCTTTGGGATGTGCTGGAGCAGTGGGGCAAGGAGGAAAGAGAAAATCATAAGTAGTCAGGGTTTGTCCCCCATCCAGCCCCTTCCAGGGACACCTCGCTGTCCCTCTCAGCCTCCGGGGCCATCAGGTGGCCAGTGGCTGGCACAACACGCTCTGCTCCCTGCTGAGTCACAGCTCTGCAGGGAAACGCTTCCAGCTCTGGTTATAACCCATTTCCCTCCGGGGCTGTGAAGTGCAGCCTCCCCGTCCCGCCGCGGGCCAGCTCCGGCCGCCCCATGGCCCTGAGCCCGCGGGCTCCAGCCGCCGGGAAGGGCAGTGGCAGGAAGTGGCCGCTGACTCCCAAATTCCACCCTGGGCTTGCTGGAGCTAAGCCCTTCCCGCGGGCATGGGCAGCAGGTGCCCTGCACCTGCAGACCCCTGTGCCATCGCAGATACCCATGTCTCCCAGGGGTGCTGGGCACCCTTCTTCCAGCGCCTCCCCAGGGTGTCACTTCAGTGGGTACGTTGGTGCTGGTCTTGGGGACACCGGGTGGCTGCAAGGATGGTTTGTCCCATCCCCAGGGACACCATTGGGACACCACTGTGCTGGCTTTGGGCAACTGGGGCTGAGCTCTGAGCGAGCAGCTGCCCTGCCCAGATCCTTGCCTGAATGCTGTGAAGAGGAACAGACTGAGCAGCCCTGGGGCTCGAGTCACATCCCAGGTGCCATCCTGGATGGTTTGGAGCAGAGGGGGGTGGGCAGCCCCCTACACCTGCATGCATAGCTTGCCCCATTGCCCTGGCATTCTCCGAGGGCCCATTGTTGGCAGGGAGAGGGGGTGGGCACCAGAATAGTGGCATCCAGGGCTGTCTGGCTCTGCAGGGGACTCTCCTGCCCTCCCGGGGCACTGACCCACGCAACACTATCTAGTACACTTTGCTCACTTCACTGCCATTCCTGGCTTTCCTGGGAGCTGCTGTTTGCTTTTCTCTGAATTATGACTCCAGCTTGTGCCTTTGATCTGGGCTGTGTCGGCCACCCGTTGCCAGCCCCTCTCCTGCCTTTGAAGTGCAGTTGCCTTCCCAGCCTCAGATGCTGCTTTTGCAACCTTGGGTGCAACCCTGGCCCCATGGGTGAGACACCAAGGGCAAGAGCATCCCCGGGGTGTCTGAGGTGCTCAGCATCCCTCCTTCTCCCTGGAACCTTCTGATGGGCCAGCACATCTCATAGCTTGGAGGCTGGGCAGTGAGGCATTGAGAGGTGTGCTTGCCCAGTGGCAACCTAGGGATGCTGGCAGGGTGCTGGGACCAGAGTATCGCTCCCTCCTGTGGCAATGGGCAGGGACAGAGGAGGTGACCTGTGTTTGCCTGGCCAGTGCCATGCATATCCTGCAGCTAAGGGGCCTTTCATGCCCACAACTCCGGCAGAAGGGATGAGACCTGCACAGGAGGTGTCCTTCTGGGCACCAGCCAACTCATCCTGGCATCAGCCCTGTCCTCCCACCTGTCTGGCAGGGAGCAACCAGAGAAGAGATCAGCTTACCCAGTCTGCCACTGGGAAGCTGGGGTCAGGCTTTGGACTTCGGCCTTGAGTGGGTCTGAGTGTCCCCATCCCCTCCCCACTCCCCTGGCCCAGAGAGGATCCTGCCTTATCTGTTACACTTTGTTCTCCTGCTGTCTGGGTGTGGAGCAGGGCAGAGATTAGTGTGCAGACCTTTGACACACACACACACACACACACACACACACACGCTGCCACACAACCAGCCACGCGTGCACCCCCAGCCACGCTCCCCTGCACACCACTGCACATACAGTCCCCATGCACGTCAGCATGCTCACACTCACCTGCATGTGCACGCCCACACTGTGCCCCACACACCCCCCACAGCCACCCCCTCCAGGGCACACACGCATTTCCCCATCCTTGTACTTGTTTGTTTGCCCTCTGTGAGCTGTGTTATGTTCCCAGTGGAGTGTGGCACTTTCCCGGCCTGCCAGCTAAGGCATGTGCATCGGCATGGCCCAGTGGGTAAAGGTGCCATCAGGCAGGCAGGGGGGGTGGGCAGGAGGAGGGAGGCTTCCCTGTGTCAAGTCTGGAAGGAATAAGAATGTTTGCAGGGAGGCAGGAGCTGTTCTGGCAGACTGGAAGCAAACCTGGGCACCCCTCATCTCACTTGTCACATTGCCCTCACTTGCCATGGGGCCACTGGAGATGTCTTGTGCTGCACACATAGGTGTGCTGGAGGCTGTGGTGACAGGCAAGGACTACCTGTTCCCACCTCTTGCCAAGGTGCTGCCCCTACCCAAGGCTCCCTGTCTATGTCTGCAAGCTGCAGTGCCTGCTGCTTCAGCCAGGGAAGCCAGAGCACTTCCAGTTAGATCTTATCTCTGGCATTTCATGAATGACTCGGGAAGGCAACCCAGTGGCGGAGCAGGCATGTAGGTGTGTGCACACACGTGTGTGTGCGCGTGTGTGTGCGCACAGCTGGGGAGCAGCCACATCCTACCCAGTGCCAGAGTTCCTGCAGGCTGTGCTGTTCCTGCAAGCTGTGTCCCTGGGATGAAAGAGATGGAGCCTGACGGGCAGAGGGAGGCACAGCCCCTTCTTTGCCCCCCAGCAGCACCACGGCAGGGTGACCTGGCAGGTGATTTCCTGGCAGGGTGATGGTGCCTCTGCTCTCTCCCGCAGAGCCTGCCCAAGATCTTCGGTGCGGGAGAAGGGCAGGCATTTGCCTCTGCTCTGCAGCAGCTCTACACGGCAGTGACACAGCAGGAGGTCAAGCAGGCTCGGAAACGGCAGTGCTCAGGTGAGGAGCCTCTTGGCTACAGGATGGAGAGGACTTGAAGCAGTTGTCCCCCATACAGCTGAGCCCCATATCTCTGGGAAGGGGAGTGTGGCCTCAGGTGTAGTTCACCCCATGCAACAGTCTCTCCTTTTGATTTTCCCCCATGGGCAGAGCTCCCCCACCCAAGCACAATTCCGGGAGTGGGTATGGGCAATGCCCCATGCTCCCTCATCTCAATTCAAAATTGCATCTTTTTCTGCTGGTACCAGAGAACGACGCAGACCTTGTGTCCACTGCAGAAATCACAGGGGACCCCCATTCACCTCCTCCATTCCAGGAGGATGAAACAACATCTTACAGTGAGAGAACCACGGTGAGTGCAGCTCTATAAACACCCTCTCTGTACCAACAGCGGGATGGGGCCTGTACATCATTTCCCACCTCACATTCAAGCCCTGTGCTCCTGCAGGATGGGCGGGGGGCCTCAGCTTGGTTCCTAGCCCATCCTACCCTATGCACCCTGACTGGGGAGTGTGTGATTGCACACGTGTGTGGTTTGCACTCCCACAACAGGGATGATGGGAGTGTCACTGCTTGCACACGTGCATGACCCCTGACATTGCCTTCTGAGGGGACACTGACCCTACCTTCTCTTTGCTTGCAGCCAGCCTCCTCCCCAGCTCAGAAGCCTCGGCTGCCTGCAGCCAAGGCCAAGACAAAGAAGGCAAAGGGGCTCTTCAGCTGAAAGGTTGCTGCCATCCCTCCCCGATGGTCTCTGCTCCCCCCAGCATCTGAGAAAGAGAGTGCAGGGCACCCATGCATCCTCTACCTCTTTTCCTGTATCTCCTGGTGAACCCTGGGTGAGGTCATGATCCCCTCCTGAGATGTCTCCAGCTGAGGAGATGGAGCTCCTTTCTTCAACAGTGCCTCAGGAAACAGCTTTTCTTTTCTGGTGCAGAGCTTGCCCAAGCTTCTTCTCATGGCAAAGCCAGTGCTGGACCTGGGGAAAGCAGGAGGGATGCTGCCAATGGGTGTGGAACAGCCAGGGCTCTGGCAGAGCTGTAGGATTTGACTGTTCTTATGTGGGTTTTCAATAAAGGGCTGTGTCTGGGTGAGATTCTCTCTCCTGCTCTGTCCCACTGGGCCCAAAGTGTCCAGGAAGGGGTGCAACCCCTGGTGCTGAGGCCAGTCCTGCTGTCCCAGGGGCTTGCAGCAGTTCTGGACGGAGGGGAGGTGACAGCAGCTCACTGCCGTGGTGTGGGACGGCAGCTCCCAAACCATGCTGTACCTCAGGTGGACTGGGGCATGCACAAGAGAACACCCAGACCGTGGGGGCACAGCATGCTGAGGAGGCTGGAGTCCATGTTCTCCTTGTCCTATGCCATGTGCTGGGGCTGGAGCCAGGTGAAGCCCTTGCAGCAGCAGGCTGGCAAAGGCAGGAGACACCTCCACCGTGGTTATTGGTCAGATGATATGGGGTTAATCCAAGCTTTGGTCTCCAAAGAGCAGGAGACAACCAAAACACTAACATACTGAATGCTTCCAGGCCTGGAGCATGTTACAGATGCTGCCTGGACACAAAGCACCACCTTTGCCCCTTCACAGCCCACCCATCCATCCATCTGTTAACTCTTGCTCTCTTCATCTAGCCCTTGTGTCCACATGCTTCCTTTGGGACTGGAGCCCCATTCCTGTGCCCAAGTCAGGTCCTAAAATAGCAGGCAGAGAGCCAGGCAACAGCCAGGCTGCAGCCTGTGGTGCTGCTCTCCTGGGGCAGGAACCCATGCCCCCAGCTGCCCTGCTCCCTGGAGCTGGGCCAGCTGCAGTCATGCTGCCTGTTCTCCTGGTCAGTAAGGGGGAAACAAAAACATCCGGAGCAGTCCCTGTGTCTTGTGGAAGGGGAATGAAAAGGGCCTTTGCTGGGCCACAGCCGATCAGCCACAGAGCAAGTGCAAATGGTTGCTTTTTATATTTCCTCTCTAAGGGAGCAGCATGCAGGGCAGAGTGGGTGGTGAGAAGAAGCCATGGAATGGGGAGCTTGTACCAGCAGCCGTAACTACATATCCTGCATTCTCCCATCTGCAAGCATCTTACCTTGGCAGCTTTAGGTCTGCCTGATGGGCATTTTTCCCCAGGGAGGGTCCTGCTACTAGCTGAAGCGGTATGACTGGGGCAGCAGGAGCTTAACAGCTCTCTGTTTCATGTCTTCTGTCACCAGTTTGTCCCCCTGGTGCAACCTCTGATCCATTCATGTTGGCTCTATCTCCTGGCCCAGGCGCTGCTCTGTTGCAAACCAAATCCCTCAGGTCCCTGCTGGTTCTGGGGTTCATGCTGCTCCCTCATGCATGCCAGCATATTCAGGAGGAGGGCTTATTACCCCACTGAGGTCATCTGTCTGGTGTGTCCCCTTTTGGGTCTGAGGAGACATCGTGGGAAGGGGCGGAGGGGACACATTCCAAACCCAGCTGTGCCAGTGACTGATGGACTCTATAGAGGGGGAGCAGGTGGTGCAAACCATCACCTGCATCCCTGGGTCATCCCAGATACCAGCTGCACCAGACGGTGTCTCTGCTTCCCCCTGGGGTGCTCAACTCAGGGGAGCCAGTCCCAGGGATGCTTAAGGAATGTTGCTCATGAGCCTTGTCCTGCTGCACAGTAAGTCTCTGTGGGGTGTCCTGCAGTCTGTGCTCATGGATGGATGAGCACCCCAGTGGGCATCAGGTGGGAGTAAAGACCTGCTGCAGGGATAGATGCTGTTCTGTTCACCCTGCTCCCAAGGCAAGGGAAGGTGGGGATGCAGGAGAATGGATCAGAGATAAATAAAAACAGGAGAGTGAAGACAGCAGGAAAAAGAGCTTTGCCAATGCCCCCTAGGGAACCACAGGGACCCTGGCCCCCAAGACTCCAATGTGGGGCCACTGGTGCCTCCCTGGCCCAGGTTGTTGCCAGCTCTGGGGAATGTCACTACTCATTGTCCCATCCTGTCCCGCTGGGGTCTCCTTCCCTGTCCCCACCCCCTCCTCCCTGGAGCCGGCTGGATTTGAGCTCCCGACACACATTAAAGGCCACAGGTTCGGCCTTGGCCTCCATAAATTTGATTCCATAAATATTAGTTTTCGCAGGGTTTAATGAAGCCGTTATGCCGGGCACGGCCCAGCACCCCGACCCGTGCCCTTAATAAGGGCTCTGTGGCCTCGATTAAAGGGACCTTTCAATCGCTGTCAAGTATTTTTAGAAAAGGAAAAGAAAAAAAAAAAAGAGAGAGGGGGGGAGAGAGAGAGAGAGAGAAGAAGACGACCAAGGCAGCGAATAGGGAGAGGAAAATCTCAAACCCATTCAGTGCAAAAATAGAGAAATAGCACCACCTAGACTGCTTGGCCCCGCTCCGCCACCCGTTCCTCCTGCACAGCGCCCAGCTCCGGGCAGCCCTGGGAGCCCAGCAAGGGGTCTGTGGGATGCTGCACTCCTGCTCAGGGCAGAGACAGTGGGATGCGGTGGTGGGGGAAAGCCAAGATGCAGAGGAAAGAGGAACTGGTGCACAGTTGGAATGCAGGCAGGAGCAGGATGTGGTAGCCAGGCATCCCAGTGGTGCCTGAGAGTGACTGAGTGTTGGGAGAGATGCTGTGCAATACAGGGATGGATGCTGCATCCCTCCCCACCTCTACTAGAAGTTAATTCCTCCCTGTGACCTAGTGCTGCAGCAGCAAGCGTCCCTTCCTACTAGTTGCCTGTGCAGGAATCTCACTCCCCGACCAAAATTCCCCCTTTACCCACTGGTTATCTGCCCCTGTCCCAGCCTGCAGCCACCTCCACACACACCCAGCTGTGGCTGCTCTGTCGTGCCTGGGGCACCTGTCCATGTCTGCAAGCTGTAGCCCCTGCTGGCCTGTCCCAACTGGCCCCATGTGCCAGTGGGCTTTGCCTGGCAGGGACACTGACTGACACTGGGAATGCTGTGTGGAGAGGTGATGAACTCTGCACTTTGTGACAGGACACTGCCACTGCTTGGCCAGAACCAATGCAGGATGCCGGGGCCCCTGCATGTCTAGGAGTTGCTGGCAAACTCAACTCCCAGTCTTCCACTCTGGGTCTCCATGGGATATGAATGCTGTTACCAGCAAGGGCAGGGCTAGGCTGTTTGCTGTGAGCCTGGAGCTGCTGGGAGGGGTACAGAGGTGTGTGGCATGTATGTTGCATGCTGGCAGGCTGCAGAGGTTATTTGGAGGTCTAGGCTTGGGTCATTGATAGTCCAGTAGGGAACTTCTCCCTGGGAAAGTGCCCCAGTCTGCAGGTGCAGGGCCATCCCAGATGATTCTGCTCCACAGTCCTTGGTGATGAACAAAGTGAGAAGCCGAGTTTATTCCTTTTACTGGGAGTACAAACAACTCTGGAGGATCCTGTGGACCTAGTCCAGGGTCCACAGGGTCTGATTTTCCTGTGCCAGTGATGCACAGGGAGCTGTGTCCCTTCTGCAGCCCTGAAAAGCCAAAGGCAGGGATGAAGAATGGTGCTGTGGCATGTCTCCTCTGTTCTTTCTGCTAATGCCATTAGGATGCTCCACTGAAAGGATCAGCTGAAGAGATGTAGAAGTGGGGTAGCCTGACACTCTTGCTCCATTATGTGCAGGAGCAGTGGGACATCTGCACCCCACCATCCTGCACAGTGGCAGGACTTCACAGAGGCTCTAGGCACTGTTTTTGGGTACCTGGTATGAAAACCAGTATGAAAACCTGCTGGATCGTGATTACTGAGTATGAAAACCTGATGGAGACACCTCTGGTCAGCTGCACTTTGCTGCAGCTCCTGAAAAGGAAATGGTCTACTGGGGCCACTGGACAGCAGCATCCCAAGCCTATGGGTGCTGCTGGATCCCCAGCCTGCATCCGTCTTGGCCTGCTAAGACCAGCAAAGCCCTGCAGAAGGAGCTGGATGTCTGGCCAGGCTATTCCAGTCTGACCACTGCATATCCCTATGAGTGACCTGTGCTCTGTGCCTCCTGAAGAGCTGGCAAGGGGACATCCCTGGGAGAGTTGTGTGCACGGGACATCCCAAGGCCCTGCCTCACCTGGGAAGATCCTAGGGAGCCAGAGGGGGTGCAAGCAGAGCTGTGCAGGACCCCTCCCCAGCACAAAGCTGGGGGAGAACCGGGGGGGCCCTGCAAACCCTCGCTCCTGAAATCAGGGTGTTATATTTACTTTCCCCTTTTGGCAGCTAGAAGGGGAAGCCCATCCCAGCCCCTCATTGTTGTCTCAGCGAGTTAATCAGATGCCATAATCCTGTTGTGGAAATATCGGGCCTCCCTGGAAACAATGGGGAGCGAGAATATTGTGGTTAAATTTCAACCAGCTGCCTCCCTGCTCTGTTTGATCCCCGCCCGCAGGCCCGGGCCCCTGGCGAGCAGGCGGCGCGGCGGGGGCCGGAGCCCCGGGGGTGCCACCCCGCGCCCACTCCACCGCGAGGGAGCCCCCGCGGGTCGCACCGCGAAGGGGGGTGAAGGGTGTGCGGCGGCCCGGGCGCGCCTCCGGGCGGCAGCGGGGTTGCCCCGGGGGGCAGGTGTCGGCGGGCACTCCCGACGGGGTGGGCTGCGGGGCTCGGCAGGGGGGAGGAGGCTGCGGACGGCCCGGGGCAGGTTCCACGGGGAGGAGGCGAGAGAGGGAGGGCGCTGGGAGGCTGGGACACGGGCAGGGTGCGGTCCTGGCGGTTCCCGGTCCCGGATCTCTTCAATTTCCCCTCTCACTCCTGCCCGGGGAGCGGAGGCAGCGGCGGCTCCGGCTCCGGCTCCAGCCCCGCCGCGCTGACCGCCGAGGCGCAAACCGCGGAGGGCTCCGGCAGCGCCGAGCCCCGCGCCCCGCAAGCTGCCGCTTGCCTGCCAAAACAAACGGCCCTTCGCTATTTATTGCCGCCGCCGAGCCACAGCAGCTCAGAGCCGGCCGACGCCTGCCCGCCGCATCGGGCAGCCGGAGCGCACCCGCGCCGGGCAGCCGCCGCGCCCCGCCGCCGCCGACACCGGCACCGGCACCTGCCCGCCGGCTGCGCGCCGCATGGGGAGCCCCGGGGCGGGCGGCGGGAGCGACGGCCGAGCCTAGCGGGGACCGCGGAGCCGCCGGTGCCCCGGGCCGCCCCGGGGCCGCCGGGCGCGCCATGAAGCCGGCGCGGCTGCTGCTGCTGCTGAGCGGGTGCGCGCTGCTGCTGGCGCCGGCCGTGCGCGGCTGCGGGCCGGGCAGGGTGGTGGGCAGCCGCCGCCGCCCGCCCCGCAAGCTCATCCCGCTCGCCTACAAACAGTTCAGCCCCAACGTCCCCGAGAAGACGTTGGGGGCCAGCGGCCGCTACGAGGGCAAGATCGCGCGTAACTCGGAGCGCTTCAAGGAGCTCACGCCCAACTACAACCCCGACATCATCTTCAAGGACGAAGAGAATACCGGCGCCGACCGGCTTATGACCCAGGTACGGCCCCACCGCCGCCCGCTTTTACCCCCGCGCCGGGCATCTGCGGGCATCGGGGGCTGCTTCGGAGCGCCCTGCTCCCCACTGTCCGGGGGCAGTGCGACCAGCAGCACCCGACGCTGCGGCTTCCCTGCCCTGCCCTGGGCATCTCGGTGTCCGGCCCGGACTGCCTGCTGTGCAGCGAGTGCATCTCCCTTCTCCGGGCTCTGCAAAGCTCTGCCCCTTCGGTTGCGTTGTGCACGTCGGACAGCACGCTGCTCTTTGGAAAGGCAGCACCCTGCTCCCGCGGCCGCCAGCACCCTGTCCTCCCAGATGGCAGCAGCTTTCCCCACTGCCCCTCGGAGCCTGTGGCACCTATGTCTGGCTGCACCCCGAGATGTGCCCTTTTGCCTCCCGAGCTGGCACCCTGCAATGGTGCCCCCTAACCCATGTCCCACTAGCCCCCGAGCTAGCAGCACTGTGCCCTCCAAACTGGCATCAGCCTGTCCTGGTGCCCCCGAGCAATGACACACTACTCCCGATCCAGCAGCATCCTCCCACATTCCCCCAATCCAGCAGAGCTGTGCCGTGCTGTTCCCTGGTCGGGCAGCGCCCTGTCCCGCTGCACCCATCTTGCCCTTGCCTCTCTGCTCTGCCTACTCACTGGCAGAGCAGGCAGCCTGCCTGTTGGATCCGAGGGACAGAGCCTGGTGTGCTGGCAGGCAGGAGAGTAGGCTCCAGGAGTGCTCTTGCTGACCTTGTCCCCAGTCTGACACTGAAACCCTCAGTGCCCCCTCTTTCCTGCATGTCTTGGGTGGGATGGTGAAGGGTGCTCGATGGGGACAATGTGCTGCACTGAGGGATGGGGACAACCTGTTACTGCAGTCAGCTTACAAAGTGCCCTGGGCCAGCGGGAAGGAGGTGGGGGGGAGATGACACAGAGGACGGCAGAGAAGGGAGGGTGATGCTGGACGAAGGTTACTCCGTGTTTTAATATTGCCAAGAGAATGCCTGAGGGTTTCAGGAATGCAGATAAGGAGCCGCACGGCCTTGCTAAGAAACCTGGCCACCAGCTTCAGCACTGGGTTACAGCCCGAGTGAGCTCCTGGGGAAAGTAGGGGGGAGCTGGTGCTGCCCCTCTGAGTACTGCACTCCCCGGTCAGGGGCTGGTGGGTGAGCGTGGGTGGCTGGGATGGCAGGCCCTGAGAAAGGCTCTGACTGGGGTTTCTGACTGAGGTGTTGATAACATTGGGAAGAGAAGCTGCTTGCGTGCTGGCTTGACAGCTCTGAAACCCCTGTGTCCTGGGAGCAGGTCCTTTAGGGCAGGGACTATGTCCCAAGGTGGTTTTCAGGCTGGGAGGATCCCCTGCAAGGCATCACCAATGCTGAGGAGTTGCACAAATTGTGGTTGCTGGTGACTAGAGCCCCAGGGTTAGGCTGGAGTCCTCCTCTGGGGAACAGCTTTAGGGATACTTGAGGAAGCAGTGAGCTCCTCTGGTCCATGCATCAGAGAAGTAGGTGACATCATATTGCTTGAGTTGGAGGCAGGAGAGTGCTTCTGGCTGTGTTGTCTCGAGAGTGCTCCCACCACCTGCCTTAACCCAGCCATTGCCCCTCGGCACCCCTGGGAAAGGGAGAGCTCCATGTGCCACCTGCCAGCCTAACATTTCCCACTCTACTGCTAGAATTGGCAGAGTACCTGGAAGCTCCCTGGTCTTCTTGGAGTGTCCAAATGAGGGTTCTTACTCCAGCAGGGTCCCTGGTCACCACACATGAATGCCCAGATGGGTACCACCGTGCCTTGGGCAGCTCTGCAGGGAATTGTTCCCTTTGCTATGGAGGCAGCATGATTTCTAGTAGCTTGCTGCCATTCCCACAGCCTTTTGGGCTTGTCCTATGGCCCCTGACTGTGGCAGATGCCCCCAGACATGGGAAATCTGGCTCTGGCACCATGTCCTGTGTTGCTATGGGTTGGGAAAGGCCATTGACCCAACTCCTTGTCCCTTCCCCCAGTGCACTGGCTTTTACTGCTGTTGACTCACTTCAAACCTGTTTTCTTTCCCCAAGTCCAAGGGTCTGGGTGTCCCAGGCAGCCGGAAGATGCCGCCTGCTTAGAGGAGTGGGTAGTGCTGCTCTCTGCCCGCCTTTCCTTTATCGTTTCATCTTCCTCAAGAATTCCAGTGTGTTTGCTCTCACTGGTCCCACTCGGAGGTGCTGAGATAAGGCTGGAGGCAGAGCATGCCTCACCTCTCCCCAGCAGCCTGGCCCAGGAATGTCTTGGGTCCCCTGCCCCCATGGAGTCCCAACCCTAAGCCTCTCCCTACCCCAACCATCACTCCTTGAAGCCACTGTTTGTCCAACTGGCTTGGAGACCATGGTGCCAGACCTTGCAGTGGTGAAGAATTTCTCATGGAGACCTTGGGATAGGACTTTTGGCTTCCTTTGGGAGAAACCTCATTTCAGGAGGAGATGCTAGTAAGACTCCTCCTGGCCAGGCTCTGGACATGGGGGAAGCTGTGACAAGCACACTCCATTCACAACACCTCTGCTGAGACTGTGGTCACACCTGAGTGTCCTACATACCTCCCCTGAGATGTATCTGAGGTCCCTTCTGACTGCGCCCCATCTTGGAGCTCTGCTGTTCCTTCCAGACCTTCTGCCTTCCCTGAAGAGGTTTGGTTTGCCCCACAGGACACAGTTCTGTCCCCAGTCTGAACATGAGAAGGGAGATGCAAAGTTTGGGCCACGAGTAGAACTTCTCTGCTCAGCCCAGCCCAACATCCCCAGGGTGTTCACCATGATATGTATGGGACAACAGAGCCACCAGCTCAATGTGGTCTTATGGGGCTCCATTCTACATGTGACCCGGGGGTGCCCGGTCATCTGCATTACTACAGGGACAAGATGTGCCCTCCCTGCAGCCACCATCAAACACAGAGCCTGTGGACAGCCCATGCCTATGGGTTTCTTGGTCCCTGCCTACCTGTCTGTGCCAGCAGCAGAGCTCCTGGGCAGGCAGCGCCCATCCCTACCTTCTTCCTGCTGCCCATGCCTGCTCCCTGACCATTGCTGCCTGCTCCCTGACCATTGCTGCCTGCTCCTTGCCCATCCCTCTACATCCCTGTCCTTTGTTGTATTCTCTCTGCTTCCTGTGCCTGCTCCCTGTCCATCCCCACCTGCTCACCCTTGCCTGTCATTGTTTGCTCCGTAGTAATTTTTGCTCATCCCTGCCTGGTCCCTCCTCATAGTTGCTTCCTCCCTACCCATCGATGGCCGTTCCTTGTCCGCCCTGCCAACCCGTGCCTGTTCCCCACCCGTTACTACCTGTTCCCTCACCGACCTGCATGTGCCTGCCTGGTCCTTGTCCATTGGTTCTTGCTCCCTGCCCGTCCCTGCCGGTTCCTGCCCGTGCTCTGACACCTGCTGGCCACCGATGGCACCGGCCGAGGCTCTGCCTGACGCTATTCCTGCTTAGGGGAAAAGGCTTGGAGGGTCTCCGTGTTTCTGTGAGGGCAGAGTGCCCCTGGAGGACAGAAGGGCTGGCAGCGAGGGCAGGAGGGGTGCCCAGAGCAGAGTGCTGGCGCGGGAGTGGCAAGGGGATGCCTGAGTGATGGCTGGCAGATGCAGGGGGGCATTGCATTGCCTCCAGTGTTGAACCCCCTTACTGCGGGGTCTCAGTGGAGGTGGGGTCTTTGGGAGCAGCTTGTGCCATGTGCCAAGTGGCACCACGGTGGTGCTGGATGGGGACAAAAGTCAGTCCCCTCCCTCTTCCTCCTCCCCTCACCTAGCAAACTGTTTGTCCAGCACCTTCCTGGCTTATCTCCCCACACCCAGGGAGCTGTGGGATGACGGCAGACCTCATGTGGGGCAAAGGCCTGCCTGGCACTGCCCTTCCCAGGGCCTGGACCCTGCCAAGTGCAAACGAGTTTCCCCAAGAGCAGCAGCACCCACCTTCCCGGGATGAGAGCAGGTGCTTGGGGATAGGATGATAGCCTACGTTTTGGGGAGTGAAGCTCCCTACAGAAGCAGTGCTGAGGCATTTTTGAGTCCAAGGATGTAGCCAGCATCAAGTTTTAAAGCTCTGGCTCATGCTTACTGTGGTTGTCCCAGTGACCTATGACATACCATGCTGGGGGAGTCCCAATATTGAGCTGGGCATCATGCGAAAACATCTCCAGGTGTGGCTGTTTTTTAAGCTGCTGTCCAGCCATTTCACTTAATGCTTCCCAGAACTGGCCTTGTGCATGGCAATGAATGCTTTATCCTTTGCCCTGATTTTATGGGACTCCTCAGGACCTCACAGCATCTCGTTTCCAGGCTGCATAACCCTAGTCCGTTCACCTGGGTTTCTATAGAAGCTCCCATATTGCTTTTTCTACACTTTTTCTGTCTCTCCTCCATCCTTTTAGAAGGAGGGCAAGTGACCAGAAGTGGGGGCCTGTACTTATGCAAGTCAAGCACATGTTGTGTTGGACCCTCCCTGACCTTCAGAGGCAGCTGGGGGATGTGGGGCAGTGCAGAATGAGGCTGGGAGGACTGCAGCACAGGCATTTGGGAATGGCAATCCCTCTGCTTGCTGGAGAGCATCACCACGTGAGGCAGGGTACTCACCTTGCTTGAGTGGCCTCTCTGAGCACCAGATCTGGTTCTTTAAAGATTTGCTGCTGTTTGTTCCTCAGCCCAGGCTTTTTACTCCCCCTGTCGTGGGCAGAGGTGAAGAGGGCTTCACTCCACATCCTTTCTGCTCCAGCACAACAGAGCAGGTTTGGCATTTCCCATGTGAGCAGAGGATGAAGCTGTGAAGCAGTCCATTGCTCTGTCCTTGTTACTCAGTACTTGAGGAGTCATACCAAGCACAGCTGTTCTGAGGACTGGCCATTGTTTCATTTGTGCCTGGGGACCCTGGGACATCTTCCCAGCCAGGACGCAGCGGGATTGAAGCTCCTGCATTCTCCTCCTTCCCCAGGTGGAAACCCCTGTTGTGTGCACACCCCTCTGCCAAACTGGAGTATCAGGCACTGCAGGGAGTCTGGAGGGCATGGGCTAGACAAGGCGCCTCAGTTTCTTAGATCTTACTCTGCTGGACCAGTCCCCAGTGGGCCTGAGGGCCCAAAGATGCTTAATGGAAGCATGGTGGGATACAACCTGCCAACCAGGCAGCTAACCCCTCCCTCCAAAAAACTTTTACTGACTCTGTCCCTCTGCCCTGCAGCGCTGCAAGGACCGCTTGAACTCCCTGGCCATCTCTGTCATGAATCAGTGGCCAGGGGTGAAGCTGAGGGTGACGGAGGGCTGGGATGAGGATGGGCACCACTCAGAGGAGTCGCTGCATTACGAGGGCCGAGCTGTGGACATCACAACCTCGGACAGGGACCGCAACAAGTACGGCATGCTGGCTCGCCTGGCTGTGGAGGCTGGCTTTGACTGGGTCTACTACGAGTCCAAAGCACACATCCACTGCTCTGTCAAGTCAGGTAAGACAGGGGTAGGGGGCAGTGAGCAGGGCCAGGGGCCTGACCTCCTCTTGCAGCATGCCTGGGGATCTTGGCTGGCTGGGTGACGTGCTCCTGCAGGGGGTGCTGGCTCTTGCAACCTAATTTCCCTATCTAGGGCAGACAGTCAGGTGGGGACTGAGTCACACACCTGTGGCCAGCAGTGCCATGGGGCAAATTCCCCATCTGGCTCCCACAGACTTATATCCTGACCCATTCTCTCTACTCCCCTCCTTTTCTCGGCCCACATCCCCTTCTTCCCCAGCTTGTTCGCCCAATCTACACATCACATCTGTCTCCATGCCTCTGCCCTTGCAGTCCCTTAGTGCCCATGCTCAGCCTTATTCAGCCCTGCCCTCCTCCACTGCTGCCTGCTCTCAAGCTTCTGCTGTTGCAGCAGCATCTGTCCAGCCTTGCCTAGCCATGGATGGGGTCAGGAACACCCAGGCAGGAGCGGGCAAGGGTACCCTGGTATCAGCTTTTCGCTGTGCAGCACCATCTGCGGAGGGGAGCAGAGCTGGGTGGTGCTGTGAGGGGCGCTAACATCGCTGGTGGCGTTTGCTTTCCTCCGTGCAGTGCATGGTGGGCAAGGAGGGAGCTGCTCTCAGCTGCCCGTGGCCAGGAGGGGATTACGTAGTGTGGGAGGTCCCCCCAGCCAGGGGAGAAGCAGCTCTGCCCGGGATGCTGCTCTCGGCGGAGCGGCCTCGCTGGCTGCGGGCTGCAGAGGGCAGCAGCGCCCCGCGCACGGCACCGGCCACCGCCGCGAGGGGGCCGTGCCACTGCCCGTGTCGCGACAAGCTGGGGAGGGCTGTGCCTGTGCGTGGGCTTGCGTGGACACAGAGGCAGCCTCGGCGGCCGCACGCACTCCCGTGCCGCAGAGCCGTGCCTGCAGGCGGAGCCCTTGCCCACGCAGGCACAGAGGGCTGTGCCAGCACACGCACACCCACACCAGTGCCCACGTGTTCCCGTGTGCCACACGCTGTGCCACGGCTGTGCCGGGGCTGGTGTGCCGGTGCTGCTCCGCGCCTCTTGTCCCCGGGCTCGGCTCCCACCGCACTCTGCCTGCCCTAGCCCGCAGCCAGCGGCTCGACATCCCCAGACGCCAGCCTGGCCCCCCGCGCTGACCCGCTCCCCCGTGCTGATGCCAGGACGGGCACAACACCAGCCGGCGATGGAAGTGGGGCGACCGCACCGCGGAGAGGGAGTGATGCGCCCCCGAAGAAGAGGGACAAAACGTGGGCGAAGGACCAGGGCTTCCGTGCCCTGTGGCACCCTGTGGGGCTGACCAGAGGAGTGGGGCCAGGCTCTGAAGCAAGGACCATGACCCCAGAGCCTTGGGGCTGGCCAGAGGAGTGTAGCTGTGCCCCTGGAGAAGGACAGAGGCTCTCAATCCTGAGATGTCCCCCTGGACCAACCAAAGAGGGATGCCATGACCTCATGCCCTGAGGCCCTGAAGGGCTTCTAGAGGCTGGTCATATACCCCTCACTTTGCAACAGCTCCTCAGGGCTCTGGATCCCCCATATTTATCCTCAAGGCATGGGGAAACCAAGGGTGCATTGTGGAGGCTGTAGGGTACACATCCTGATTCCCCCAGAACTGTGTACAGAGGGCAGCCGGGCTGCCCCTGCCTCTTAGTAAATGTCTTTTATTTTTGTATGGATTGCCCCATAACCTGTTTGATGTATTCTGTCTCCTCGGGTCCTCCCGTTCACCCTCTGTGCCGAGCACCTATGTCCTCCACTTCTGCCAGATGCACCTCTCACCCTTCTGCAACCCTTCCCACAGCTCTGCTTCCTGCCAGGGAATGCAGGGTGCAGGATTTGGGACCTGGCCTTCCAGGGCAAGGACAGGGCAGACACTGCACCTCATCTGAGCAATAAACAGATTCTGTCCCAGAGATGGATGCCTCTCTTCATGGGCCTGGGGGCTGGGATTTGGCTCTGCCCGAAGCTGGGGAGTGATGGGGGCAGTGCTACTGGGGTTGGAACACTCAGGGATTAGATGAGGGTGCTGGGAGAGGGTCCTGAGAAGGGCTTAGAACTCAAGGATGGAACTATGCAAGGCTAGAGCAGGACCTTAAGGTGAGATGCTGGTGGGAGGGCATCATACAGACACTAAGATGGGGGTTGCTGGGACTTGGGGGAACAGGGCTGCTGGGGTAGATAATCACCATTTCTTGGGAAGCCAGGGTTCTCTGCTAAATGCCAGGATGGGCCCCTTGCTGCATCTTTTCATCTGGGGAAGGGTAGGACCTCTGTGCCACCATGCCAGAAGACAAGCCCCAGAGAGTTTGGGTCCTTTACCCTGTGGCAGAGAAACCCTGCCAAGGAGGCTGGTGACTTTTGCTGATGATGGCCACAGGTTGTGACAACTCCCTGGAATCTAGAGAAGGGGGGGAGGCTGGCATAAGTGGTGCAGGGTTGAGCAGGTGGTAGAAGGGAGCAAGCTGCAGCATGGGGTGGAGTGGTGCTGCAGTGCTGGGGAAGGGCACTGCATCGTGCACTGTTCCTTGTAGCAGCCTCACAGGTGGTACTCGGGACCAGCACTGCAAGGAACGGGGGTGCTGTGTGTATGGAGACTGAGACCAGGCACTCTGCTCCTCAGCCTGCCACTGCTCAGGGCTCTGCCACTGCTTTTTCAAGTTTCAGGTGCCCCCTGGCACTGACTGTCTTGCACATTTGGACCTGTGGTTTTGTCCCACTTCCCCTGCCAGGTGGGTTCTGGGACCTGGCTCTTTAGAGCAGACCCAGTGCCCTGAGACCATGCTGGAACCCCCAAGTGTCACCTCAAGTGACATGGTGGCTGGGGACCAGATGCCTAGGGGGGCTGGATGGGTGGCTGGGGTTGTGTAGGGGACACACTCACATTTGTGATGCCAGGACAAGGTTATCCCTGGGTGGGCAAAGCTGGGCATCCTGTGAAGGTGTCTATGCCTTGTGGAAGGGTGATGCCGAGGGTCTGGCTAACAGGTAACCCTCCTGTCCTCTCTCTCCCTGCGCAGAGCACTCGGCCGCTGCGAAGACAGGGGGCTGCTTTCCTGGGCGGGCACTGGCAACGCTGGAGGACGGTGCCCAGACTCCACTGTGGGCACTGCGCCCGGGCCAGCGAGTGCTGGCAATGGACGGGTCGGGCAGGCCCACCTACAGTGACTTCTTGGCTTTCCTGGACAAGGAGCCCCGTGCCCTCACCACCTTCCATGTCATCGAGACACAGGAGCCACCCCGGCGCCTGGTCCTGACACCCACCCACCTGCTCTTTGTGGCGGAGAACGCTTCAGCACCGACCACTCACTTCCGCCCCATCTTTGCCAGCCTTGTGCGCCCTGGACATTTCGTGCTTGTGGCAGCAGGGGGAAGCAGCTTGCAGCCTGCCAAAGTGGTGGGGGTGCGGGACCGGAGGGACATGGGAGCCTATGCCCCTCTGACACGCCACGGGACGCTGGTGGTGGATGGTGTGGTGGCCTCCTGCTTCGCCCTGGTGCAGGAGCAACAGCTGGCGCAGCTGGCCTTCTGGCCACTCCGGCTCTACCACAGCCTGGTGGGGTGGCCAGGGGCACAGGGAGATGGTGTGCACTGGTACTCAGGGCTGCTCTACCGCCTGGGCAGGCTGCTCCTGCCCCCCGACAGCTTCCACCCACTGGGGGTACCCCGGGCAGAGAGCTGAGGGTGCGCCACAGCCGCAGCCAGCACTGCTGGTGGAGGTGGTGGCCGCAGGGTGACTCACTGGGGGCTAGCACCCCCTCCCAAACCTGGGTGCCCATGGGGACCTGCCTCCAGCCCCGCCTTCATGGAGTACAGCCACCTCCTGGTCAGGGGGCACCGAGGCTCCCCAGCTTGCCTACTCCATGCTCACCCCCCCACTCTTCACCCCCTGTTCCTAGGGGTGGGGGGTAGGCATGAAGGGCTTCCCCTGGGACAGGGGGTGTGCCCCAGCTGGATCCACATGCTGCTATGTGTGTGTGTGTGTGTGTGTGTGTGTGTGTGTGATGTGTGTGTGCATGGGCTGAATTAGCTAATGATGGAGGTCTGATCAAGGAGTGGGAGCTGGAAGAAGAGAGAGCCCTGGATACTCCTCTAGGAGTCCTAGACAGTCTGCACCCAGTGCAGAGGCTTTGGGAGAGGGGCCTTAGGCCTATTTGCTAGGCAGCCTGGGTGGGAAGGGCAGGCAATGCTATTTCTACCTCTGGGACATGGTAGATGGGAAGAGGGTGATACAGGTATTGTGACAGCTCTGTCATCAGAGCTCTGTCTTGGTAACACAAGTGCCACTGGGGAGTGGGGATGACGAGCTCTGCCCAAAGCGAGCACTGTAGCCACCCAGTCATGCCCATGGAACTGCTGTGACAGCATGGGGAGCTCCAGCTGGAAAGAGGAGGCTGCAGAGGCAAGCACATAGGCCAGAACGGGCAGGAGGGTGCAAGTGTCAGCCAGGTATGGGCACACACTGGTAGGGGTGGAGAGAGTAAGGCTGCAGCCCCAGTCTTCTGGAGTCTGGGGAAAGAAAGTGGCAGGGAAGAAAGCAGTTGCTCCCTTGCCTTCCCAGCATCCTGCCTGAGTTGGCTTAGCCAAAAAGCCTTTTCCACTGCAAAGCTAAAAAAACTCCTCAATCTTCAGACCCTGCCTGGCCTGACGTCCACAACCCACCAAGTACCCCAAAGCCTCAGGGTAACTCATTGCTGCTCGCCCACTCCCAGCACCTGCAGGGGGTCAGAGCTGTGGCCACAGTTACCCCCCTCCAAATCTTAGCTGGAGCCTCAGCTTTTCCTAGCTAGGAAAAGCTCCACATTAGCAGAGGCAAGAGGGATAAGGGGGGCTGTGACCCACGTTCCCCCTGCGGCATCACGCATCTTTATTTATTTATCTGCTCTTTGTATGTACCATAGAGGCAGCATGGGCGCATGCAGGCTGAGATGGGAGTGGTGGGGGGAAAGTTGTCTGGTTGGGGGGGGGGGGTGTTTTGGTTTTTTTTTTAAACAAAAAGCAGAAATTATTTAAAGATTATTTTAAAGCACAGCTTTTTTGGTGATTGTTGTCCAGGACAAAGTGAGGGAGTGCGAGAATGGCCGACAGCAGGTGTATTTTTGTCTCTTCACTGGATGCACCTTTCCTGGTTTGGGACACAGCCCAATAAATCCATCATCTCCCAGGTGGGAGCTCTGAGCTCTGGAGTGGAGAGGGCAGGCAGGGGTCAGGGATGCTTAATGTGCCCGTCATAGCTGGAGGCTGTGGGATTAACCCAGGGTACGTAGGACCAAACTGTTACTGAGGCCACCTGGAAACTAGAGCAAGTGGGGTAGGATGTAATAGGTATCACCAACACAGAACTACAAGGACACCTCTCCATCCCAGTCTGGACCCATCACCCCAGCACCTGTTCATGCTGGGACACCTTTCCCTACCATTCCCATCATCACTAAACCCACTAACCCAGTGCTACCAGAAAAGATGGACTCCATACTCTGTAGACAGGGTTTCCAATGTCACTAATGCTAGTCACTGCTGACTGTTCCCTCACCCTCTGCCAGCCCTTTCACCCCTCTAGCACATCCCCATGCCAGCAGAAGGGAAGACCTCCAGCCAGCACCCCACAGTGCATCCCCATATCCATCCCACCCACACACCCTTCTGTGCACCCCCTGCCCCATTTCCAAGCTGCCCTGCCTTGATATCTTGGGTGGGGCTGGTAGCTTGGGGTCTCCCCGAGGCTTTCCTGGGACCCCACAGCATGGCAAGTGCTAAGCAATTCCACAGCAGGCTGTCAGTGAAGGCCCTCATCACCATGGCTAATTTAAGGGCACTGTGAGGCGGCTGAGCTAATTTAATTAGGTTCTTATTACAGAGAAGGACAAATTGGTCCCCAGGGGGGCCATGGGGTCAGGTTTTTGAGAGGTGCTTTATGGAGTGAAATTTCAATCAAGTTGTCATCGCAGACCGGGAGCTGGAGGCAGAGGATTCGTAGGGAGAGGATATGCTCTTTGTAGGGCCTGGTGGTGGTGTGGGGCAAGCATCTCCAGGCCCAGGTTTTTAGAGTATCAGTGAGTGTGTCAGAAGAACTCTGCCCCGTTAGGAGGATGCTGCAGGGTACATAGGGGCTCCTTTGGGGTGGAGGCAGGAAAAGTGGGGGGGTCCTGGCTCTGAGCTGGCCCCAGGGCAGTAAGAGGAAGAGGGGGACGTCCATTAGTAAAATTCTGTGGTCTTTCTGAGGCTCCATTAACTCCCCCATAGCCCCATAACCCCCCATGGTGAGGATGTTGAGGGCAAAATGACATCCAGCTGATAGACGAGACATATGAGGGTCTCTTCCTTGCCTGGATGTCCTCCCATCTCTTGTCAGTCAGCTCCAGGAGAGCCAGGACAGCCTGGGGGCTGCCCCACTGCCCAGGGACACCTGAAGCAGCCCTATCTCCCAGCGTGCCAATTCCGGGCGGGTCCCAGCAGCACTCCATCATCCCAGCTGGGCGGTGATGGATGGGGATGCTGGTGGGTGGCCGGCAGAAGGGCCGGGCTGGAGAGTCCCACAATGGATGTCTCTCCATCAATTTGTCCTCATTACCATGTGAATGGTGGGCGGGAGGGAGAGGAAGGGCATGTGGCGGCAGGAGAAACCCCCCACATGCTCCCATCTGGGGTAGCACGTCACCCCTCCCCATCCCTCCAACCCTATCTGAGCATGTTAAACCATCTTCAACACCCTCGGCCTCTAATTCAGGAGAAGAGAGGTACCACCCTCTATTCAAAGCCTTGAAAAGGCTACAGGGTTCGGCGCTGTTAACAAGGGAGAACATGGTCCAGGTCCCCGCCTCTCCCGTCTGTCCCTCGCCCCACGACCTTCTGCCGTGGCAGCGCCAGCCAAGCCTGCTCCCAGCTCCAGGCTGGCACGCTGAGTGCCGGGATCCCGGCAAAGGAGTAGCAGGGGGGCCTTGGGGCTTGGAGAGTGGGAGTGGAGGGCCCTAAATGCATCCCTCGTTCGTGGCAGTTTTGGGCAGCACAGGTAGGGAGACAGCAGAGTGGGATCCTGTGGGTCTCCAAGGCCAAAGCTGCCCTTCAGAGAGGCAATGTCTCCAGGCATGGCAGTGATATGTCTCCAGCGTCTCTGAGCTCTGGGTCCAAACAGGTCCCCATGGCCTGGGCAGTGACGGTGACGGAAGGTGGGGGGTCACCTCAAAATATCTGTACCTGTGGGCATCGGTACAGCAGGTTGCAGGGATCCTTCTTCTGGCGAGACTACACCGATCCATAGCTGCTCCCCCAAAAGCCTAGGAGAAGCTGCTCAGCCCTGCACGCTGCCTGCCGGCACATGCTCACAGAGGGAGCCGGTACCAGCTTCCCACTCTCACTTGCATTAGGGTAAATTAACTTAATGGCTTTTTGGAGTGCTGCTGCTCCCAGAGCAGGGGCAGGACCCTGCTCTCTGCAGCGTTGTTGTGGGGGGTGTCCCAGTGCCCTGTACTCGAGCCCACAAAAGCCCCAGGAGGGTTCCGTGGTGCAGTATGTGTGCTCTGGAGCCCATCCTGCACAGCGAACTCCTCCCCAACATACTGCCCCTCTGCCCTGAGCCCCCCAACTCCTACCCCTCTGTCAATTGTGGCACCCTTGTGAGGACAATGCTGGGGCCATTCCCACACTGCAGGTGCTGCAGATCTCCTCTGCCTCTGCATGGCAGCTCCTTATGGGCAGGGGTGGAGGTGATTTAGCCTCTGAGAGTCAACCACGGCCAGCTGTGCCTGTATGGACACCTTGGACAGACAGACACACGCATCCATCCCCTATACATACTTTTATCCCCTGGACAGACACCTGCCCACCACCTCACCAGTTGAGCCTGGACACCTACCGGCTCTCAGAATCTCCATTCAGTCCCCCAAATTACTCTCTTTCCAGTCTGTATCCTTTACATCCCAGGAACACCCAGGTGTCCCTGTGTCCCTGATCTCTGTTCACTCCAGGGACAGTCAGGGGAACATGCACATGGCCCATTGTTACAGCACAGAAATTGTGAAGATGGAAGGACATGGGCACCCTGCGGCAATGCCCATCTCTGCAGCCATGCCCAGCCCGCATCTCCCAGGTGCAGAGAGCACCCTTGACCCACAGAGGGGGCTGACAACATCTCCCCCCATCCAGGGTGAGCCCTGCCGACCCTCCCACTGGAGGGGCACTCTTAGCTCCCTCTCCCACAGAGTGGGGTACAGAGCTAACACACCAAAGCCCACCTTTCCCTTCCCATACGCCCCCCTGTCATCAGGACCCACTCAGCATGCACTGTGGGTCCCCACTGTAGGGTAGGCAGAGCTGGGCATGATGCCAGTAGTTTGCTACCTTGCATACAAGTGAGGGGCAGGCAGAGGCAGCTGGAGACCATGCAGGGGGCCTGGCACCAGGCATCAGTCGTTACCTCATACACTATCCCAGTATGAGATGGGGGGCTCCCAGCACCACAAGAGCAGTCAGCAGGATACACCCCCAGGAGAAACCCCGCAGCCATCCGCCACTGGCTGTGTGGTGCCCTGGGGGGAGCTGGGATGGGGGGTGTATGAGTATGCATCCACACGCGGGGGACGAGTAAGAATCTAATCAGAGTCCTTTTCCTTAATAAATCATTCGTCGTAATCCAACGCCCTCCCTGCTGCTCTAATAACTCCCAGCGCTGGGCCCCACAGCCACAACAATGCAGCTAATGGAACGATTTATTTTCATAATGGTGCTGGTGGGGAGAAGGGGTGGCCGGGGTGGGGGCAGCATGCTCTGGGGCAGGAGTTTCTAATTAGTGAATGAAACTTGATGTAAGGCTGGAGGAAGATGGATTCGCTTCCTGACAAGGGGCCTTTCAGCTCATCAAAGCCCCCGAACAGGGAGGTAAATTAAATTATTTCTAATTCTTCACTAACCTCCAGGGAGTCACTCTTCCACCAGCAAAGGTGGGTCCATTCCTGAATTGAAGAGGCACTTGAAGGACCGAGGTTAGGTAGAAGGGACTGATGGAAGGGATGGGGAAGACAAGATGGGATGGAGTGGGACAGTGGAGCAGGACATGCCATTGACTTTGCTGGAAGAACAGGGAGGGGGAAAAGTGGTGATGGAGTGGAAAGCTGCAAATGGTCAATAAACAAACAACTCCAGGGACTAATGACTAATTTGCTGCAAGTTATCCATCCATGCCTGTCACCTAGCGAGACACAGAACAGGGCTGAAACTCAGCCAGTGCTGGGATGGAGCAGAGCAGCCCAGCAGCATGGAAATGGCATTCCAGCCCTCAGGGAATTTGAACAGTGACAGCACTTAGTTTTGAAGGAGTGACTGATTCTGAAGTAGGCAAAGGGTCCAGTGCAGGGGAATGCTTCAGCAAAGGCCCTTGTTCTCATGGCTTTGTATGATTTAAGGTCAACACCAGTGATGTTAATCCTTTTGGCATAAAGCTGTTCTTGGGATGTCCAGTGACTTTTTTAAACACCCAGCTCTGGAATCCTGTAATGGTGACTTGTTTTACAGAGAACAAACACACCCTCTCCTAGCATTCCCTCTTTCAGAGGAACCTTCAAGTGTCAACCTGCCACTAGCCCAGATGTCCCCAGTACCAGAAGTGCAAAGAGGAAGGCTCAGTGCTGTGGCTGAAATCAGCCCCTGGCCCTACCTGGAGCACGGAGCCACACCGAAAGCACCCAGGGCTGCCCCGCAGCTCCACTCCCTGTGGTGGCAAGGAAGCACATTCAGGGACAGTAGGCAGGTTCCTGGGGGTCTTTCCATATGGAATCATGGACTGCATTTCCTGCAAGATCTGCCGTCCTAACCATCCTCAGCACTGCCAAGCAGTTGTGATTGGAGCACAGCCCAGGCAGTGAAATAGGGGGATTACAGAGGCTATGTCTTACTGCAAGGGGCTGGGGAGGCATGGCGGGGCCAGGGCCCTGCAGCAGTGTGTGGTTTGCCGCAGGCTGGGGAGCACAGTCCCCTCCCCACGGCTGAGCTAGGTGGAGCTGGGACAGGCGCAGAGCTGACTGTGCTGACCCAACACTCCAGGAATTTAATTTGTTTAATATATTCCCTGGGAAAGAAGAAAATAAATAAGTGGCACCTTGCGTGCCCCCATGTCTCACTCTCGCAACGGAGGTGTCAGCTTAACGAG